GATATAGAATCATTAATTACGTATACAAACCTTATAAAAAACGTATCATTTCCTTATTTCGATTTCTTATAGGGTTTGTGATACTTATATCATATGATTACTGCGCATTAAGAGATTACTATATGATGATCATCCCAAAAATTATATTATAAATCACTCTGATTGATTGGCGGACCAACAATTAATATTTATTGTTATTATAAAATATTGTTTGTATCAATATATATATATTTTTTCAATAACTAGTAATTCAAATCATCTAAAATTTTGATATTTTATAAATAATATATTGATTTATTATATTAAAATTTTATTTAATTTGAATCATTAGATATTTAAAAAATATATTTCAAAAACTTTAAATAAAAATTATTATATATTGTTATATCTCAGCTTCTAGTAATTCAAATTAAATGAAAATTTGATATATTATATTTCAAGATTATGTCATATATAATTGAAAATCATAACTAATTCTAATTAGTGAATCTTGCGATATATAATATTAAATTTTAGTATTCAAAAACTTTTATATAATTAAAATATTTATGAATTTATGTTTATATACATATCTCAGCATCTACTAATTCAAATTAAATAATATTTTAATATATTATAGATTGAGATTATATTAAGATTATATGAAATTTTGAACTAATTTTGATTGGTACATCTTGAGATATATGATGTCTAACATAGTGTTCAGAGACTTTTAGCAGTCTTCTGTAGAACGAAAATGCGATAAATGATATTGATATATTACCTTCTTTTAGGGATGTTAAACAGTCCTAAATGATCCTAAAAGTCCCAATAAATTTGTCAGTTCTAGAGAAGATTTTTATTTTACTGGCATTATCTTTTAGTTTCTAATAATAATTTGTTAATTGAATATAAATTATATAAATTAAAAATATATATTAAACTTATATAGGAACCCAGAATCTTAATTTTTGAACTTAGGACCAGTCCTAAGGACCAGATCCCACCTTGGCAGTCCCATGTTAACTGTCGATTCCAAAGTTCATATTTCTTTTATAAGTTATTCATAAAATTTATTATTATAATTATTTATCAAGGGTTACTTATTATAGATAAACGATTATAACTCGTAATTTCAATATTTGTTTACAGTTATTTGAGACTATTTAATATCCTTACCTTCTCTTTAAAAAGTAAAACTTCAAGCTCAACCTTCATAGTATGATAATAAAGACTCGGATTCATTTGTTCTTCTTATTTATTTATAACATTAGGTATTATGAACTTTTTTAATTGCTGTATTACAGGTCTAAAAATAGCTTTAGCTGTATTTTGAAGTTCTTATTTATAGCATAGCTTGCTTCTAATTCACAAACTCACAATAATCATTTTCCTCTTGATATCTTTTCTTTAAAGCATCAAACAATTCGCATAATAAAATATTAGAATTTCCAAGAAGCCTTTTCAATGTTGAATTTTTGCTTTCATTGTGAAAGGTTGACTGCATATCAGCAGTAAAATATCTACTGGTGAACGTAGTGATATACATTTCTTATATCCCAAGCATTTGCTGTCCCAGCTATATGTTCCAACTATATGTCCTAACTATGTCTTTTATATGTCCCAAATGTCCTATCTGTTCCATCAATCTCCCATCAGTATTCTAACTATGTCCCATAATAATACTGGGTGAACGCATATACTCATAATTAGGAATTGTTTCCTAAAGACCGCATTAAATAGTCTTTAGTCTTTAGATAATTTTGCAATAACATTTTCCATCTCTCATTAAATTGTTATTCTATTAAGCTGTTTTTTGTCTTGAAAAATCCTTCATAAAATTACTAAAGTTAGAACTGAATTCTTCTTTTAGCCATTTGGGCAAATTTTGACTTATGTGTCAAATACAATGCATATGAAAAGTATCTGAAAATTGTGTTAAAATAATACTATTAATTGCTAGATCTATTCATAATAAATACTTTAGAGGTATACTGGTTGCATCTTTTATATATTTGAAAAATCCACTTGTATAAAGTTGAGTTTCATCGTCAGCAATTGCTTGGGTCACAATTCATGTTTTCAAATTATTATCGGTAATTGTAAAGAGAGACAATGGTCGATTGTAATGACTAGTTTACAAGTATTATCATGCATTATTACATCATGATAATACAACTATAAAATGTATTGTTCAGGACTCATCCAAAAAAGATGAGTTAATGAGAAAATAACGGGATCAAGTTTTATTGAAATTACTCAACGTGAATCTTTCATTCTTTTATCATAAAGCCATTTTAGTAAAATCTTTGTGTCTGCTTCACTTGGTATCACTTTACGATGAAACTTGCTAATAGCATTATATAAATTTTGTCAAATTATTATAATATTAAACTTTTTCCCAATAATTCAATACTGAATTATTGAATTTGCTTTAGCAATAACAGTTAAAAAATGAATCTCTTTGATGACTTCTTCTGGTAACTTGCATAGTATAGAAACAAATTGATCTGTTAATTGATAAAATTTATGACTAATATGCTGATCATATAAAGTCGTAACTTCCAAGTGGCCTTTACTTTTTTTATTACAAATATTAAATTTCTATAAGCATTCAATTCTACAAGAGGTTGCATTTAAATGCTGATTTTCTGTAAGAGCTATCTGATTAGAATTTGCTTTTCCAGAATGGCAGCATAGATAAGTTCATTTAATATTTCATTTGTTGCTTTATCTGTCTTTCTACCACCACCAATACACATTTCATGACTTTCAATAACAGCATATCTTTTCATAAACTTTGCAACATGATCTCAATTTTGAAAGACTTTTCAACAAAATGTTTTGTATACTCTTTTATATCTACAACCTTATCAAATATACTATAAAATAAATAATATATTAAATCTTTCAATTTTAATACTAATGCTTTAAATTTTTAATTACTTACTCATTTGTATCAGAAAAATCTTTAGCACTATCATATGCTAATAATGCCTTAAATTCTTTGTCTTAAATTTTTGGTAATGCTTCAAATTCTTTATCCTGAATATTTAATCCTTTTATATTATACAACTAATATTGCAAATTCAAAAAATGAATTCTACAGGAAAAGCAACTAGTAAAAAAAAAAGCTAATTTGCAATCTTTTGCAGAATAATAAGATCAAATTTAAGGAGAAAGAAAAAAAAAGCTAATTTTGTGTTCTTTTAAAATCCAATTCAAAATGTATTCTAAAAGACAATAGGAAATAGAAAAAAAAAGCTAATTTTGTGCTTCTTTTATAAAATAACAGAACTTTACATTGGAAAATAGTTTTGAATTAAGTATTTAACAAACTATTGCTACTTAAGCAATTTTTACATAACAAAAAAATTAAAAAAAAGTATTAATACTATAGAAAAGGTATTGTTATAACTAATTAACTTGGTCAATTATTAGGAAAGTGAACCTTTCTTTAAAAATTAACCTATAGACTTGGAATTTTGAAACTTTAGGACTAAAGTCAAAAAAAAAGTTGTTAAAAATTTTTTGTAACATATAAACTTTATGTATTACAAGAAATTAATATATATGCATATATTAGGGTAATAACATTTATTAGCTAATATTTTAGGGGATGAGGGTAAATAAAAATCTTATGTTATACATAATATATTATATCACGTGATAAAAGTGGCTTAGCATTTAATAAAAGATTTATTTTATATAAAGCATATACTTACTACCTAATATACGTGTATATGCATATATGCAGGGTTGAAAAGTACAGTGTTAGTACAATGATTAGCACAATTAGTACAGTTAGTACATTATAATAATTAATATAAAAATTGGTACAAATACAGTACAAGTACAATGTTAATTTTATCTAGTACATACAAAATTCCCAATCCTGCATATATGCATTTACAGTATTTCAAAAAATATTATTCCCGATCTGAAATATCCTCCCTTAAATTTCTTTCATTTAATAAAAGCATTTTCTTTTCTTTTTGTTCTCATTGTAATAAAAGAAGTGAGAAATCATCAAAAGTCAAAGAATTTTGCTTAATTTGATTTTTAGATTTTCCTTTAGATCATTCACAGTTAGCAAGATGCTTTGTTCACTTGTGATTTATCAAAAAGGTAAAAGTTGAAAAGTTTAGAGCAACAAAGATAAAAATAAGTTGTTTTTTTGAGAGATGACAATGTGAATCGTATTCAGGAACTTTTAGGTGATTATAATATTTGAGAAGATGTATTGGATTCATATAATATTCATCCTTTGCTTTGATGATAGGAAGTAAAAAACCATCATTTATTTGAAGGAACTCCATAACTTTTTTGCACAATGTGATCCATAACAACTTATATTTATGCATTGTTTGATGCGAGAGAATATTAGCATAAATTACAATAGTTTTCAATTTATGACTATAGTATAAAACATTCAATTAAATCAATTATTTCTTCCTCTTCTTATTTCTTTTGTTTTATTTATCTTGTCATTTCAGTTTTTCTGCTTTCTCTTTATTTATACTCTCAAACTGCAGATTTTTAAACGAATTTTCAGACTCTTTAATGTACTTAGCATTTACACTTTTTCCAAAGATCAAATCGTGATTTCAAATATCACAAAGAACTTTTTTGACATATCTGAAATTTTGAAGAGCAAATTCTGGGTTTATCACTTTGCCTTGCGTATTTAGATGCATTCCAAAGTAATTTATTGGTAATGTAATACCTTCCAACTTGTCAGATAGTGTCGCTATACTCCTTTCAACAGAATTGAACTTAGAATATCCTGGAGTATGCATTCGTACACTTAGGTAATCTAGGTTAAATTTTTTAAAAAGCTGATAATAAATTTTTATATTTTTTAAATGCCTTGGGTTCTCATCTTAGTGTTCGCCAAATGATTATGATTGGCAAATGACTCAAATGATAAATGACAAATAACCAGTCATTTCAATTATCAAATGACCAGTCATTTCAATAATTTTTAAATATTGCATATTTTATAAATTTTTATTATTTATTTTGTTTATTATAGTATAGATAAGTTAAAATATATATTAAAAAAAATTATTTCATATTGGGCAAATATTTTATATAGTATATAATATTATATTAAATTATATTTGAGTTCTGAACGAGTTGACTCAAATTATGAGTCAGACAAGTCCAGTAAAGTTAAGTCAAGTGCTAAAAATTAAACAATTTTTTAGTTTTATTCAAAAGAATGATTAAAAGTATCATTTTGATAGAACTATAGAAGAATCATTCTAAAGAAACGATTAAAAGCATCATTCTAAAGGAACAATTAAAAGCATCATTCTGATAGAATGATAGAAGAATCGTTCTAAAGGAACGATTAAAAGCATCATTCTAATAGAATGATAAAAGAATTGTTCTAAAGAAATGATTAAAAGCATCATTCTGATAGAACGATAGAAATATCATTCTAAAGAAATAATTAAAAGTATCGTTCTGATAGAATGATGTAGTATCGTTCTTAAGGAATGATTTTTTGTATCGTTCCTTTAGAATGATGTAGTATCGCTCTTAAGGAATGATTTTTTTGTATTGTTCCTTTAGAATGATGTAGTATCGCTCTATTGGAATGATTTTTTATCATTCTGATAGAACGACCTTTTATCGTTCTTAAGGAACAATTTTTTTTTATCGTTCTGATAGAACGATGTAGTATTGTTCTTAAGGAATAATTTTTTTATCATTCCATTGGAATGATTTTTTTGTATTGTTCCTTTAGAATGATTTTTATCATCCTATTGGAATGATCTTTTGTATTGTTCCTTTAGAACGATGTAGTATCGTTCTCTTGGAACGATTTTTTTATCGTTCTGAATGAACAACCTTTTATCATTCTTAAAGAACAATTTTTTTATTGTTTCTTTAAAACGACCTTTTATTGTTCTTAAGGAATGATTTTTTTGTATCTTTTCTTTAGAATAATCTTTATCGTCCTATTGGAACGATCTTTTGTATCGTTCCTTTAGAATGATGTAGTATTATTCTCTTAGAACGATTTTTTTATCATTTCGAATGAACGACCTTTTATCATTCTTAAGGAATGATTTTTTTTATCGTTCTGATAGAACGATGATTTATCATTCTATTGGAATAATTTTTTTATTGTTCCTTTAGAACGATTTATATCGTCCTATTGGAATGATTTTTTTTATCATTCCTTTATAACAATTTTTTTATCGTTCTTAAGGAATGATTTTTTTGTATCATTCCTTTAAAATGATCTTTATCGTCCTATTAGAACGATTTTTTGTATCTTTTCTTTAAAACGATGTAATATCATTTTATTGGAACAATTTTTTTATTGTTCTTTTAGAACGACCTTTTATTGATCTTAAGGAACGATTTTTTTGTATTGTTCCTTTAGAATGATCTTTATCGTCCTATTGAAATGAATTTTTTTATCGTTCCTTTAGAACGACCTTTTATCATTCTTAAGGAATGATTTTTTTGTATTGTTTCTTTAAAATGATCTTTATCGTCCTATTAGAACGATTTTTTGTATCGTTCTTTTAAAATGATGTAATATCGTTCTATTGGAATGATTTTTTTGTATTATTCCTTTAGAATGATTCTTCTATTGTTCTACCGGAATGATCTATCATCCTTTGGAATGATTCTTTATCATTGGGAGATAAAATTGCAAAACTCACTAAGAATTTGCGATTTTTTAAGAGTATTGCTAAATTTGTTTGTAAAGTAAATGACTAAATGACAAATGATAAATGATTTATGATTATGACAAAGGAATAGACAAATCATTTAAATGGTCAAATGATCAGGTCATTTCCGAATACTATCTCATCTGGTCCTCTATCTACTAATAGCATCCATATCAGTTGAATTTCTCCATTGAATTTCAGCGTATTATCATATTAGACATCTTGGGTAAGGCATTCAAAATTCTGCATATACATAAGTGAAGATGTATCAAGAGACTACTGATAACGTATAAAGATGGCGAGTTATTCCATTTAAAGATCATCCTTTTTTCATTCAGCTTTATCATAAGATAAACTGATGAAATGAATTTTTGTTTAAATCCTACAAAAAAGTCATGATTTGCTACGTTTATTAATTAATTGTAATGTACAAAATATCTGTTTTACTACTGGCATATTTAGACCAATCTTCGCTTTATCGTCTTGAGAAATGATAACACTCGCGTCAACAAATAATGAAGCAAATTGCTTTGCATATTTAATAGATGCAAGGTAATAATGTCTATCAGGATGGTCTCATATTTCTGTGTAAGAAATCCCAGCTACTACTACCCATACTTGATAATAATGCGTCTTGCAGTAATTGAATTGGCTTGGTAATGTAGCAGGTAATTATTTAGTATTGTTCTTGCCATGTAAATATTATAGTTTTCCTTAAGATTCTTGCGCAGATTTTCAATTATTCAAACTTTAACTACCTCTTTACTCCTTTTTCATCAGCTGTCTTGAACTCGATTAAATCATGGATATGATCGTGTAAATTCAGATGTTTAAAAAGGAGGAAGAACAACTAAGTTTATCATACTGTATTACCTCCTGATTCTTAATAAGTGCTTTTCTTTTTTTTCGAGTATAATCTGCATTCTTTTTCAACTTAATAATCTTCTTTCTGTTAGATTTGATTTCAGCTCAAAGATCTTCTATTTTTATGTATATATTATGCAGAAATTGAAAATCAGTTGTAATATTATATATTTGTTCAAATTCAGTAAGTTTTCTTTTAACTATAACTATTTCATTTGTTGCTTTTTTGAGCTGATGCATTGATAGGGATTTCTGATGCAGGATCTGTTGAATGAATAGTAGAAGGAGTAGGAGTCAGAATTGGATTTTCTCTAGATACAGGATATCTAAATCCTAAAGTTTGTATATTATAGATTAAATGGCATTACAAGGTAAATTCTAATTATATCATCAATTTTACTTTGCTCTTAAGTTTAATCTTGTTTTATTCTTGTGTAGCTTTATAACAAACTTTGGCACAGTTAGAAGTACTATTTTCTGTTATAACTATAATACTATATATATAGGCATTTGTAAAGTCCTAATATTTATTTGCTGTTGACTTCTAGATTGATTTTTTGGGTTAAATAAAAAGGTTTATCAACTCATTTTATACTAATAAAATATTGACGCGTTTTTTTATAAAAAAGATATTTGCAGCTAAAGACAGTGTTATCATATGACATAATTAGGATACTGATGAGACACTTATGGGATATTGATAGAATAGATGAGACATTTGAGACATATATGGGACATAGTTGGAACATATAGTTAGAATATATAGCTGAAACAGCAAATGCTTGAGACATAGGAAATATACATTACTGGCTGAAGGTATAAATGAAAATTGAATATATTATAAAACTTCGCAAAATCAAAGACTTTTTTTATACATGATCATCACGACGTAACATACAAACACGATTTAGAATATTTTGATTTTTAGAATATAATTTTAGAATACTGATTTTAGAACACAATTTTAAAGTTTTATATTTGATTTTAGATTTTAGAACATGATTTTAGAGTTTATTTAATAATAAAAGGCTTTAATTTATTAACTTTTAGCTTATTTTAATTGATACAATTAATATGAATATATAATTTCTATAAAAGATAAATGATCTGTGAATACGTGATTAGAATATATTATTTGGGGGTGAGGGGGTAGATATTAATAATAAAATTATATTACCTAAAAATGTTAATGTCCTTATCATATGAAAATTTGATTCATATAATGGGAAATTCCTTATGACTCATAATACGTGATGCAAAAATTCTCATAATGTGCAATAAAATTTTTGTGAAATGCAATATGATTGTAAAATATAATATGAAATAATTTTGTAATACAAAACTTTTTTGCATATTAGTTTTGTAACGCAATATAAAATATTTTGTGTTATGATTAATATATGTTATACTTGGTTAGATATTATTTATTTAGATACTCAAATTTGATTGGCTAATCAAAAGGTTACTATGATAATACTAGAGGTTGGAATTGATTAATTTTTAACTGGTTAATTAATTGGTTAAGATATTTATCTTATTAAACGGTTAAAGATTTTTTAACCAGTTAAAATAACTAATATTAACTCTAGCCAAAATTTAATTTTTGGGCAAAATTAAAATTTGCTAGTTTTGCCTAAATTTATAATATAGCCTGAGTTAAATTTAACTGATTAATTAACCGGGTAAAGAAATTTTTAACCAGTTATTAACCGGTTAAGAATTTTTGTACTGGTTTCAACCTCTAGATGATACAAGTCACCAGCTATATTTTTCCTTATTTTAATATATCATTGTAAAATTAAAATTATTTTTATATTCGATTTGATTTGATGTGATTTGATTTAATTTGATTTGATTTGACAAATATTTAATTCAATTTGATTTGATTCAATCAAATTCTAATTATATGTACTTAATATTTGATTTGATTCGATTGTTTAACCTATTATAATCAAATACTAGTTCTAATTAAAGTAATGAAAAGATTACTCAATCTCTAATTTCTACCACTAGAAGATCTAAAAGAAGTTGACAAACATTATCACAAATGAATGCAATGATCATCATCACTACCATGACTATAACAGTTGAATAAGATCATAATGATTCAACCTTAACTTTTAAATCAATAATAAATGTTAATCTGATTCCTGCGTTTGTAAGTTTCATAATAATTCTATCAACTAATGATGAATGATTGAGATGAGAAAACAAAATATAAAATATTTTTTTTAATTGAAATAAATAAAAATTTCAAGATTTAAGCTAATTCTTCATAGACTTAATTTATATGAATAAACTAACAACACTATTGTGACAAAAAAATCTAGTAAATCAATTTTTTTTATAATTAGACTTAACCTATAATTTAATTAGCTTATGTAATATTGATTGGATACTTCTTAAAGTGGTGATTCAGAAAGAAAGAGGGGAGATTAATAGAATAAACGAAAAATAAATTATCATTAGAAGGATTTATTTCATAATTTTCTTATACGCATTTATAGCTTAATTTGAGTAATATAAAAATAACAAAAAAAGTTCTAACCTTTAAACTGTTGAATAAACAAATTTGTCATGAAGATCTTTAATTATTAATTTATTAAAAAAGTTTTTAGAAAGGAAATTTTTTTTTTGTAAAAAAAAATAAATAAAAAAATAAGTAAAATAAAATATTTAAATCAAAAAATAAATAATGACTTAAAATTTAAATTAAATAAAGAATTTATTATTAATTAAATATTAAATAACCATTAAACATAATGATACCCTTAAGATCATTTTGTCTATTTTGCAACCTTACTATTAGTTATAAAATCATTAATAAAGTGAATATAATTGATTAATTCTTCTAATCCATTTAAAATTGCAAATAATTATATTATGTCCTTCACATTCTACTGTAAATAAAAATCACATTTATTAAAAAATTAACTTTTTTCATTTTAAATTTCTCCATCATATCCATCAAATCAACTCAATTTACACTTTCAATGATGAATATGAAATGATACTTGATTGATTCATGATGAATATCACATCTATCATACTGAGTAATCCTAATATCCTTTTACCTGAATCCATTTTAGCCTACATCATACCAATTACCCTTAACTTTTAAATGCAATCATTATAATTGAAGGCTGTCGATCACACTATGAAGACTATAACATATTTTAAAATACCATCTAAGAATAATACCATCAGATCGCTTGCAATTATTGTGGTAAACTCCTATATTTAGAAATGGCTTTATGGATTTTTTACAACCCATCAATCACTTACCCACTACAATAACGTATTTTAAACATTGCATTATCATTAACTTAAATACCAACTATATTTCTGAATTAAAAATACCTATTTGCAGATCATGCAAGAACTCTTCTACAAGATTTAGGTTTTCTTACCTGTTTCCTATACCACAAGAAATTCTCTCAATTCCTTTGCATAAGAGGAAGTATTTCTCATTAGTTTACTTACACTGTTATTAGGAAGAATTCCTTTTCTCAGAATATAGATACTTGACTGAATCAATGAATTACTCTTGTAATATTAGAGGGTATACAGTCAAAGCTCTTTATAGTGAACTCTTGGTTCTAATCATTTTTGTTCACTATAATGAGATTTTATTAAGAGTTCACTATATCGAGAGAAATTTATTATAAAAAATTGATTTGGTGAATTAAAAATAATTCACTATAATGTGATTTTACTATAACGAGATTCACTATAACGAACTTTGACTGTACGTTTTAATCTGAAATTTTAGATATATTTCTTAATCAATCAGACAATATTAATCAATCAAACATCTCAAGATATCTAGATAATGATTTGATTCATGATCAAATTCTAAAACAAGCTGCAGTTTAGTTAGCAAATAATAATCTATACCTTCAATTTTATGCTAACATATTAATATTACGTAATGAATAAAATATAGTAAGGAATCAACTATTTCTAAGAGCAACACATTTTCTCATTGATCTTAATATCCCGCTTATAAACACTTGAGATATCATAGTTCTTAATTCAAACTTTTCATATAAAGATCAAAATGAAGTCTTCTATTACTTTAGATTGATGGCAGGATTCGTCTGAAAAAGTGATATATTATGTATTCCTATTGCTACATATGATCCTAATCTAGAACCATTAATTTTCCTGATCTATTTACAGATGAAAAAAGTCACTTTCATGATATGTTAGATCAATCAGACATCATAAATGATGACATGAGAGAGAAACTTATAGTAAATACATCAGACAACGATTGATAAACTATGAATCACAATAGAAGCTTCATTACTATTGGTCCTCTTGGTCATACCTGCAATTAGAGAAACTAAAATATCATCAAAATACTTAACGTCTCTTGAAATAAAATAATATTAATCCTAACATCAATAATCTTTTTACCATAAAGCAATTACTCTAATCTAATGAATATAATAGATATTTGAGATTAGATGAAACCAAAATGATTCTCCTGTTTACCTTTATATGTATAGGTAATACTTAATCTTGACCATAGCTGAAAGTCATTGGACCTACCTTCATAATTTACTTATTATTATAGACAATAATGATCCCTTACCAATGAATAGACCTTATTATTGCGCAAATTATTTCATTCACAGATTTCAGTCTCTAAAAAAGGAATTGTATAAAAAACCTGAACTTATGAGATTTGGCAAGATCACAGACTTTTTTAATTGAGTTAATTTCAAAATAGGGGTGCAATACATACTCATAGCTAGGGTTGGAAATTTTGTATGTACTAGATAAATTTAACATTGTACTTGTACTGCACTTGTACTAATTTTTATATTAATTATTATAATGTACTAACTGTACTAATTGTACTAATCATTGTATTAATACTGTACTTTCCAACCCTGCTCATAGCTATTATTGGACAAATAATACTATTTCAGATATGATAGCAAATAATGTTATCTGTTTAACCCCTCTGATTATAGTACCCCTTAAATTTTTATGTAAAAATACACAGGGTACTATAAAGTGTATTTATGGTAAATACGGTAAATTCAATTTCTAAAATGGATAGATTTCTATAAAATACAACAGAAAAAACATGGAACGCGTATCTCCTATCATATATATTTTTTATGACCTTTAATTTTGTAAGATTTTTCTCATGTGAATAACTTCAAAATTCGATTTACTAAACATTGATTATAAGTTGCCGAGTTGTTTGAAAGGCCAAAACAAATTCCCATATTTATACTTGATAATCAAGACCCAGATAAATATAACAAAAGTTAATAAAAGAGGGTATTTTTGCATTCAATAAATTCATAAAGTTCTCAATATGTGAAGCTTTGGGTATTTTCTTAGCTCAAGGATTTGAAAAGTTATTTTAAAATATTTAAGCATGAAGTATTCTTTATTTTTAATGTCAATATACTCTTTACAGATAATAATCTTAAGCTTAGATAAATGATTTTTATTGGATCTTTTTATGGTTCCTAAACTTATTATACTAACTTCACCCTGATTTTTCTGTATTTATATAAAGTTGAAATACATTTTCATGGATCATAAAGCTTATGCATATATATATTTACGCTAATAATTAATGGTATATTAACACATCTAATTTCAAAAAAAAAATTGTATAAAACCTATAGAGAATTCAACCACATCCTTTTCTTCTTTTCTAACCTCATTTGCTTGTGTATAGTAATGAATTGGTTAGTTTTCCCAGAAAAATTGATGATCATTAATGTAAAAGTAAATGCAGGTCAGTTTAATTATATGAAAATAAAAAAAAAGATATAAGACGTGTCTACATAAAAAACATGATTAGTTTTTTTTTCCAAAATGGTTGGAGTTTCTTTTCCATGTGTTATGTGAAGATGATGATCTTGGTAAGATTTGCTGCCAAATCAATAGCAGTATATATTATTTATGTATGGTACATGCAGTTCTAGAGGTCAACAACATAGGTTAGAGTAAACATCATTTGGATTCATAAAATGAAATGTAAAATGGTATTTTTGATAATATAAGTAAACAGTTTCCCAATTCTTTTTGCATTGTGCGAACTTCTAAATATTTTAGGGAAGCTGAAAGAATTTCAGATCACATCATTAATTGAGATGTTGAAGAATTGATCAATTCTTGGGATACCTGTCTGAGTTAGTAGCAAAAGTCAAAAACTGCTTTAATCAAAATATAGTAAATGATATGACCAAAAGTTGTAAAAATTACCATAATATTTTGAATGATTATAACGCTTTTCAAAACTAATAAACAACTTAGTCTTGACCCAGTATAAAAAAATATATATGCGTTACTGAGATAACTAAAGTTATATAGGATTACTATCATTATTCTCATAGGTTACTCATCTTTTGAAAATTAGGTAATTCCTCACTTTAGTTCAATAAGTAACCAGTCTAACTGGCATTATTTCTAGTAAAAATATGCGGTCTACATCCATCATTATTACACATGTGTTTAAAAATATCCCTTATATTTCTTGCAGCATTAACATCCCTATTCCAAAAAGTTAGACAATTCGATCTGCAAACTTTCAAAGCATAATAACATTGTGGATATGTAAATCTATCTTTACATCGGAAGCAAATCTGTAAAAATAAATAAATAATATTAAATAAAAATATCAAAAAAAATTTTTTTAAAAAAAAATTTAATACTCACTTGTGAGGTTCGAAATTCAGAAACAAGCCTAGTGCAGCAACGTCTCTTAAGTTCCACAAAAAGTTATTTTATAGGACCTGATGCATGTTCTCGTGAAGAAAAAGAGAAGCTACCTGCTTCATAAGCAATAACAACCAAATTACTATAATGATCCTTTTTATTTCCAATAATTTTTTGACATATTATAGATAATGCCTTTTGCTTTCCAACATAATTATCAAATTTAATCTGCTGAAATTTTTTAGCACCATATTAATTATGAAGTACATTATAATTTTGGTGAATATATTGTAAATGACTAATATAATGAGCTTTTGAGGATGTGCGAGAAGTAGAAAGATTTTTGAGAATGTTTTGAATATTATGTGCCTAATATAAATAACCAATAAATTAATATACTAAAAATAACAAATAATAATATTAATAATTATAAAATATCTTTTTTAACACTTTTTTTGTTTACAATGATTTCATATAAAGTTTGCTATATGATGATATTGTTTTATACCAATTTGTATAACCCTTTCATTATCATCAACAGTTATACATAGATTCCTCCTACCCGGATCAAGTCCAATAACCGTTTTTTCAGTTAAATTTATAATACTATAATCATTATCATTCCTTTTATCTCTTATTTTTTGTTTAATGAAATACAAATACCAACTAAGTCTGTTTCAATACGACATCGAAACCTTTCACTGTATTTTTGTGTATTAAAAATTTGAGCCTAATTACTTCTTGCAGAATCTCCAAATTGTGTTTTTGAAATTCCTACAATTAGATTATTACCAGCACGCTTTAATATATCATATAAATGATGGCATATAACAAGTTCCATAATTATATTATGAAACAATATCAAATAAATGAAGACCTTTTATATTTGGATGATGCTCAATAATTTGATTTATATGATAAAGTAATGGAAGATAAGTTGACCAAGTTTTTTCTCCATTCATCTCTTCTGATAAATCCAGATTATCCAATAATATATAAAAATCTTCATATAATAACATTAGCATTATAATACTATTTCCGGTATTGAAGAATTGTTGTTTAATAAAAATTTTGTATTATCATGAAATCCTATTGAAGTATTTTGTTTTTTTTGTAAACAATCATAAAATAATTCAATTATAGAAGATAACCGTAATTTTTCTTTTACTTTAGATATTTGAAGCAAAAAATATTTGATTAATGAACGTAATTAATGTGGTAAATTGGTTAAAACATGATTTCTACAGTTTACTAAATAAGATTTAGCTGCAGATAAAAGAAAGTCCTCCATATATCTAATTAATAAATAAAATAAAAAAATTAATTTTATAATATATTAATTAATTTGAATTTAATATTATTTCCTACTTACTTTATTGAAATCCAATTCAAATGTGATGATTTATATCTTGCATATTCATCTCGAATTAAATTAATTATTAGTTCTGTAGTATTTTGTGGCAAATTTGAGAAATCTTTTCGAGTTATTGATTGAAAAACACGTCATACAAACTGAAAATCAATAATTGGAA